GAGCCCGACCATCATGGAGAAGGCGCCGGCGTAGTAGGGGTACGCCGAGGGGATGAACCGTTCGTACTGTGTGTGCTGGAGGGGACGCACGGACACCTGCGAGGGGAGAGAGCAGCCCCCCATCAGCCTGGCAGCCCAGCCACCCTTCCCTCTCGGGTGATTCAGAAGTTGGAACAGGCAACCCAAGGAGGTGGTGGAGTCACCATCCCTGGATATATTTAAAAAGCGGGCAGATGAGTTACTTAGGGGTATGGTTTAGTGGGCAGACAGGAGCGGTTGGACGTGACGATCTCAGAGGTCTTTTCCAACCGAGCGATTCTGTGATTCTGTGAATTAATTCCCAGTAATTACCTGGGTGGAGGAGTAGAGGTGGGTATAACCCAGCCGGTTATAATCCACTTTAAACTGGAACACCCCGTAGACATCCGGCAGCTTGAACTGCACGCTGTATTTGCCACCTGAGGAAGAAAAACGACAGTGGTGATGTTGAGGTGACACCGCGGGAGCCGAAGGGTGAAAGCCCCAAAACCATCGTGGGGCAGGTGAGGGGAACCCACCATTCCTCTTCAGGAAGGTCCGCACAAAGGGATCGATGCGGACGAACTCCAGCTGAATATCGTCTCCATCAAAGGGGACCCATTTGCCGTCAGACAGCTTTTCGATTACAACGCTGTACTCCTGGAGTGAACCCCCACCACGGGAAGTTAACGAGCGATGCCTGAAAGCAAACCTCCACCCCAAAATTCTCCCTGGTTTCTCTCGCAGCTCTGAGCCTTACCACGAGGTCGGTGACGGTGTAGGCGTTGGGAGGTGCGAGCTCTCCCACGCGGTGGTGGGACACGGCTCCGACGCGCAGCACTCCCTCCTCCTTGAACACCCAGCGGGACAGGGCGACAGCCAGCTCGTAATTCCCCGTCTGCGAGTACCTACGGACGAAGGAAAGCTCAGAAAGCATGGCACACCAAAAAATCCACCAAAACCCAAATCATTCATGTGAAAGCAACAAGAAACTAGCCAGGATTAGAGAAGGGAATTCATTCCCAAAGCTCTTTGTTCCACAAGGAACACATCACCCCTGATTTAATTCAAGCTTTCTGCTGTTGCCCATAACATGGCTATTTTTTTTTGCCCATTTCCCAGGATTTTCTTCACCATATATTCCTCAGGCAGTGACATTGGGATGGCACCGTACCTCTTGGAGCCAGGAGTAGCTTTCTGCACAGCAGAATTGAAGAAAGCATCGCTAAAGAAATCCAAGGAGCCGCTGAAAACAACACGGGCGTTGTTCCGGGCTTGGAGTCCCGCGATCAGAAGGGTGTTCTTCCCCACCGCGTGCGGGTACTGAAAAGGAGTGCGTTTAGAAGAGCTTTTAGCTAATTTAGGGATGATTAAAGCAGAATTAATCTCTTAGGAAACCAAGAAGCTCAGAATAACTGGCAATTCCCAGATTCTGCTTTGATCAGGGCTGGCTCTTCTTGCAGAGCGTCCCTCCCTCTCCACGTTTCCCCACCAACAAAAAGCCAAGAGGAAGATTCCCAGGGCGGTGTCAGAAAGCAGATAAAATCCATTTTAAAAAAATCCATCAGGAGATTCACCACTCCAGCTTTTTCCCCCAGTCTGCCAATATTTGAGGGACTTAACCATAAAAGTTCAGCCCAGAAGAGGAGAAAAGGTAACGCAGTGTACCTGAGTGATAGGTTTATCTGGGAAGAAGGAGTAGGAGGTGGAAGAGCCGGTCAGGATATCCAGCACCAGGGGGTTGTCAGGGTCAGCCACCATCCTTGCAGGGAGAGGCACAGTGAGCAGCGCAAGGACCCCCGGAGCCCACCACCCCCACAGGGACGCGCAGCCACCGACACAACCACACGAATCTCCCCACCCTTTGGATGTGGCAAAACAACTGCGCACACCAAGACATTAAATATTTCCTCAAGATACATGATCAAGCTTCGCTAATTTAGACTTAAAAACATTGCTAAGTCAGCTACTAAGCCGCTCTGGAGATTTTCTTTTTATTGTTGGATGAAATTAGGAGAGATCGCTCATGTTCAGAGTCACAACACCGCTATTTTTGGTGGTGTTTGCCCCCTATGACCTCCCTGCAGGTCCCTTACCCGACTCCTCGGAACAGGATGGGGTTCAGCGCTGCTTTCCCCACGATGGTGGGGGCCTTCAGGAGATTTTCAGTGTCCGCGACTATGAGTGTGTGCTGGGAGAGAGGAGAGCAGTGTGAGGGCGCTGTGAGGAGGGCGGTGTTTGCTCGGGTCTAACGGCGAGCAGCAGCTTTCTCTTGTTATTTGCAAGTTAGTTTGGTTTTACAGATAATGAAAACCAAGCAGCTGTTGGATGAACGTTGCAATTCAATGCAAAACCAAAACGCAGCATTTTTTGTTTAATTATGATCAAATTAAATTAATAGTGATACATAAAGAAATGTAAACCACCCTTTGATAAAGACAAAAATGCTTACAGGGCTTCACTTCCCCATCTTTAGCAACTTTCATCCTTAAACGAGGACAACATCCATGAACTGCTTCAACAGTTTAATTTAAATAAGAATTAGCAGAATATGTTTATTTTAGATCTTAATATAGGTTTTAATTTTAAGGTACTTGATGACACCAGGGGAGGGCAGAAATCATATAAACACGTACACTTCTATACTGGTCTCTGGGACTGAAAAATCCCCCTTCCCACATGCGAAGCGTTGCTCCCAGCATCAGGTGAGCTTCACCCCTGGTGAAAGTCTCCCCGCACACTTCAGAGCGGCTCAAAACCCCCATTTGTTGTGGTGTGATGGCATGAGCCACGGGGACCATCTGAAACCACTCAGGGCAGTGGAAAGATCAAAGCTGGGAAATTCGGAAAGACGGGTTTGAGGGCAGAGACCCCCGATGAGCACGGTTCTGCAGCGTTACGCCACGCTGCCAAGCAGAATTATTTATTACTTTCTTGGGAGGAAGCTGAGAAAGCCGAGAACGGAGGGAAGAAAAAAGGGAAAACAAGTAAAGAAGATTTATCCCCAAACCTTTGCTCCTAAACTCTCAATAACAAACCTCAAACTGTGGTGAAAAATCCATTTACCTGGCCAGGGTCAGAGATATCGTAGTTGTGATGGTCGATGACAGCCGTCCTTTCCTCATCAAACTCGATCCCGCACTCACTGCCCAGCTCTCGCAGTGGGTCGCCTGCAAGGACAGAATGGATCCTCCATTACACAGCGCGTCTGCGACGTGACACCAGTCTCAGTGCTCAAAATTAAAAGTAAATTCAGCTTAAAGTCACACGTTTGGCGTTCTTCCGAGGAGCAACACAACCTCCCCCAGCTAAATTTCATTTCCAAGTGTCAGTAAAAGCTATTTATCACCCTTTTCCTTATAGTACAAACCTTTAGGTTCACAACAAGAAACCTGTGTTTTCTCTCCTCCATCCCCACCCCCTCGTCCCAGGAACTCAGAGAATTTATTTGCTCACTGCAGAGTGTAAGCAGTGCAGGTATCTGTTACAAGAAGTGGCTGAAATGCACCGATTTGCTCTGACGAGTGCTTGTCCTTACCAATGTCCGAGCTGGCGGCGACAAGGACGCTGCCACCGCCATCGATGAAAGCGGTGATGGTCTCAACGTTGATGTTTCCACCAAAATCTGAAGATGCACACCAGAAATTCACAATTAGTTCACATAAAGAATACCATGGCAGATTAAACCATGGCAAAGCACCAAATCATTTTTATCGTGGCTGAAAGAACCACCATTAAAGGTCTGGCAGCATCCACAGTTTGCTACTGGGTGCAAGACACAGAAGATAACAAATAAAGTGCAAGATTTAAATAAAATTCACAAAACAGTTGTAAATCGCCTTCCAAAAATGCTACCAAGCTCCAAGGGCATCTGAGTTTTCCTCTCCTGTATTCACCTTCTATGGATGGTGAGAAGATGATCAAGTTGTCATACAGAAATTCTCCGTATTTGATCAGGGACAGGCCAGCGTCATCCGCTGTTCGGAAAGTGAGATCGAAGCCCCTGTCTGCAGCCACAAAAAAAAAAATTAAAGGTTTTGCATTTCATAAAAGCCACAGATGTAGCAGCAAAGCAGCATCAAGTTCCTGATTTTTATTTCCCCAATAGGCAGCGCTGTTTTGGAAAAAGTGGCTACGGAACTTTCTGGGAATGCCACCGGGGTGTCCCCCACAAAACCCAGGGGGCTTAATCCCCTGAAAAGCCCCTTTGCAGCCAGGATGCTCCGTGGACACACATCAAGAGGGATCAACACTGCAGGGGACACAACCCCCATCTCTTTCCTCAGCCCGGCCAGAGGACCTTGATGTCCTCCCTCAGCCCGGCCAAGGGACCCTGATGACTCCCCTCGCCCTCAGGGAACCCCCATACCCTCACACATACTG